AGTACTTTATATATTTTTGTTTTGTTTTGGTACTGAGGATCAAACTCAGGTCCTTGTGCTTGCCAGACAGTTGCCAGAACCACTGAGCTAAATCCCAGGCCCAAGTACTTTATATATTTTAGATAGCAGTCGTTCTTCTGAGGAACAGCTGGTAAAAACTTTTTCCCTTTTGTTAGATTGATTCCTAGATACTTCATTTTTTTGGATGCTATTGTAAAAGAAAATATATGAAAAAATGTTCCACATCACTGGTCATTCGAGAGATGCAGATGAAAACAACACTGAGATTCCACCTCACCCCACAAAGAATGGCTGCTATCAAGAAATCACACAATAACAAATGTTGGCGGGGTTGTGGGGAGAAAGGAACCCTCCTCCATTGTTGGTGGGAGTGCAGACTAGTGCAACCACTATGGAAATCAATATGGAGATACCTCAAAGAGCTTGGACTGGAGGTTCCATTTGACCCAGCCATCCCTCTGTTGGGTATCTTTCCAAGAGAACTAAAAGAATCATATCACAGAGAAGTATGTGCACCCATGTTTATAGCGGCACAGTTTGTAATAGCTAAATCTTGGAAACAACCTATTTGCCCATCCGTTGGAAACTGGATAAAGAAGTTGTGGTTTTTCTATAAAATGGAATATTACTCAGCCATAAAGAGCGAGAGAATAGATTCATTCATAGGAAAATGGATACATATTGAAGATATACTCCTAAGTGAAATAAATAAGTCCCACATGTGTAAATACCAAATAGTTTCCCTGGTGTGAATATTCTGCAACAATGCATAAGATTCTAATAAGATTACTGACATTTAGAAATGGGAGGAAAGGAGCTAAAGGTGTAGGGAAGGTGTGATATGTAGGGGAAGAACAAAAAGGGAAAAGAAAAAAATGTGAGAGAATGAAAAGATGAAAATAAAGTGTTTGTAGATGGGGAGGGGAGGAGGGGGTGAAGGGAGGGCAGAGGTAAGGGGAAAAAATGAGAATCAAGACTTGCCATGTAAAGGTACATGATCCCAACAATGAATGTAACTGTACTGTATCCCTAAATGTACCAATAAACTCAACACAAAAAAAAAACAAAAAAAAGAAAACTTTTTCCCCACATTGTAGGTGTTCTCTTAGCTCTGTTGTTAGTTTTTCTTTCAGTGCAGAAATTTTTTTTAATAAGATGAAATCCCAGTTGTTGAATCGTTGTGCTAGTTCCCATGCTACTGAGGATTTGTTCATAAAGCCTTATGCTCTGCCAAAATTTTTGCGAGTTCTACCTCATTATTCTTGCAGCAAGTTTAGTGTTTCACACTTAGATCTTTAATCCACTTAGATTTTAGTTTAGTGTGTGGTGAAATATAGGGGTCTAGTTTTAATCTTTGAGAGGTTGAAATCGGTTTTTCCAACACAATTTATTGAAGAGGCTATCTTTCCTCAACTGAGGATGATTGTCTCCTTTGTCAAACATGAAGTAGCTGAGTGTGTCTGGAATTGTTTCTCCATCTTCTTATCTCTTCCACTGCTCCTCAGATCTATTTCTTTGCCAATACCATGCATTTTGTTTGTTTGTTTGTTTTTATCACAGTGGCTTTGTAATTTAGTTTCAAGTTGGGTCTTGTGATACTCCCTGCCATATCTCTGTTGCCTAGAATGGTTTTTGCTATTCTAGGTCTCTTCTGTTTCCTAGTGAATTTTTGGATTGTTTTATCCTGTTCTGTGAAATATACTACTGGGATTTCAGTAGGGATTGCATTTAATCTTTATAGCATCTTTGGAAGTTTGACTTTTTTTCACTATTTTGATTCTTCCTACCCAGGAGCAGGGGATATCTTTCCATTTTCTTATATCATCTTTGACCTCTTTTTTAGAATGCTGTTGTTTTCAGTGTAGAAGTCTTTTGCTTCCTGTGTTAGACTGATTCCTAGATATTTCATTTTTGTGGTGCTATTGTGAAAATAATTGTTTCCCTAATTTCCCTCTCAGTGAATCTGTTATTTGTGTACAAGAAGGCTATTCATTTTTGAGTTTTGACCTTGTATCCAGCCACTCTAATGAATCCGTCAATAAGGCTAGAAGTTTTTGGCAGAGTTTTTTTTGTATTCTATGTAGAGATTATATCATTGGCAAATATAGTTTAACTACTTCTTTTCCTATTTGTATTGTTTTTATTTCTTTCTCTTGTCTAATTGCTGTGGCTAATATTTCTAGAACTATACTGAATAGGTGATAGTGGACATCCTTGTCTTGTTCCTGATGTTAGCATGAAGATTTTCAGTTTTTGACCATTTAGTGTGATGGTAGTTTTTTTTTTATAGTCTTTATCAAGTTGAGATAAAGACCATCTACTCCAATTTTCTGCAGTGTTTTTATCATGAATGGGTGTTTAATTTTTTCAAATGCTTTTCTACATTTCTTAAGATGATCATATATTTTTGTCCTTGACTCTGTTAATATAGTGTATTACATTTATTGATTTACATATGTTGAACCATCCTTACATCCCTGGAATAAATCTGTCTTGCTCAGGGTGTATGATCTTCTTGATGACCTTCTGTATTTTGTTTGCCAGTATTATAATGAGGATTTTTGCATCTTTGCTTATAGGGAGATTGGCCTGTAGTTCTCTTTCTTGGTTAGGTCTTTCCCTGGTTTTGGAATCAAAGTAACACTTGCTTCCAAGAATGAATTTCAAAGTACTGCTTCCTTTTCAATTTCATTGAAAAGTTTAAAGAATAATGGCAATAGTTTTTCTCTAAATATTTTGTAGAATTCAGCTTTGAAGCTATCAGGACGTGGTTTTTCTTGGTAACATTTTTAATTACATCTTCAATTTCACTGATTGTAATTGAGATGTTTAGAAATTCTTTATCTTCTTCACTCCACTCTGGTTATTCATAAATATCAAGAAATCTGTCCATTTCTCCTCTGTTTTCCATTTTATTAGACTACAGGTTCTCAAAATAAGTATTAACAATCCACTGGATTTCTGCTGGATCTGTTGTGATGTCACTTTTTTCATTCCTAATTACATGGATTTGAGCCTTTTCTTTATTTTTTTGATAAAGTTGGCTAAGAGCTATAGCTTTTATTTATTCTTAAAACATACTCTTCAATTTGTTGATCTTTTTGGATCATTCTCTTAGTCTCCATTGCACTGATTGATTTCTCTTCTACTCTTTATAATTTCCTCCCTTGTACAAGCTTTGGGTTTGTCTTGCTCTTCCTTTACTAGGAATTTAAGATTCAAAATTAGGTTTTTTATTTGAGCTTGGTCTATTTTCCTTGTGTATGTATGTCAAATTCTTTTGTTCTGTTTGGGAAATTTTCTGTCACTCATTTTGTGACGGTTTCTTTTTTTAATGTCATTTTTACTTTCTCCTGCTTTTTCATGGACTCCTATCTGTCTTATATTATTCTTGTTTGTGTCATCTAAGAACAGTTGGATTGGTTTCTCATGGTCCCCTACTCTTTGTAAGAGAGTTCTCTTTTCATGTTCACTGAATTTCATTCTGTCTTCTATATCTGATAGTCTCTCATCACATTGGCTCAATCTACTGTGGACACTTTCAGCAAACTTTTCTAATCTCCTGGATATCCATTTGAATCTGTTTCACGGATTTCATTTCTTTCCTATGTTGGGCATTCATTGTTTCCATTCTTTCCTGTGTTGAGCATTCGTGGCTTTTGTCATGGTCCTGAACTCTTGTATTTTTATCTTTTTCTGTTCTAGAGTTGCTAATCATGTCTTTCATTCTGCTCACTATCTCTGTAGTTATCTGGGAAATTGTTTCTATTTTGAACTTTTCTAGTCTTGTACATCTGCTTTGTTTTTTCCTGTGTTATCAGTTCAGGGTGTCCAGGTGGTTTATTGTCAGCCTTTACCAGCTCATTTCCCCCAGAATTTGCCTTTGCTGAGCTGGAAGTCTGTGTTTGTGCCTTGTTTAAATGTCTCGTTATTTCTATTTTTGTTGTTGGTACTGTCCTTGGTTAAATTACTTGCTTAATGCTTTGATCTTCCAGCTATAGTTGGTCTTAGGTTTTCAGTCTCTAATGACTCTGAGACACTCTCATTTTCATAACACCAGGAAAGACAACTGATTAGATTAACACAACACCTTACCTAAAGTGATACAATCAGTAACACAATAACAATCTTAGAAAATGACAGCTTGTGGTAGTTATCAATCTGTCACCTCTAACTGTGTGAATTAAATCAAAATTGAAGACTGGCCAAAATATGTTTATAGTGAAAAAACTCTTACATATAGCAACTTTACACTTCAGAATGGGGACTTAGAAGGTGGTGGGGAGAGAGGGATCAATAGGTAGTAGGATAGGGAAGATTAGAAAGTGAGGCCAGAGGACACAGGGAGATCATGCACATGCTAGGAAACTGTTGGATAAAAGAGGATAAGACAGAATGAAAAACAAAGAATAGAACAACCTAACAGCATTAGGGAAGCTAGAAACTGTACTCATTTTCCTTTGAACCTAATGACAATTGAGAGAAGGAAAAATAGAGAAGAAAAGAAAATGAAAGAAGAAATCTGAATTAGGGCAGGAGCAAGAACAAAAAGGGAGATGAAGAACAATGTGGGAGAGTGAGAGAGTGAGAGAAAGAAAATAGAAGAAAAGAAGCAAGACAAAGGGATAATTTGAATAGAGTACAAGAAATAAAAAATTAAAACTAAGAGGAAAAGAAAAAATAATTTAAAAAGTAAAAATGGAAGTCCTCCTTCAGGGTATGTCTCTGCTATCACAATAGCCAACATGGGCAGTAGTGTGCAGATCTAAGTCAGCTAGTCTCAGGAAGCCAGCAGCAGACCCCTGAGATTCAAGCTGATTTCTGGCTGCAAGGCCCAGGTTGAGCTCTCTGACATCCTTCAAGGATAAATTATGTGATGTTCTACTGCAGGTTCCAGCTGCCCTTCCTCTGAAGTCTAAGTTCCAATGGAATGTGGCGATCCCTGCAACTTACCAACCATGGTGGTCTTGTGTGCCTTTTTTGCAGAGATTTTCTTCACTTTTCTAGTAGGCTTCAATTTTCTTCAAGGAGACTGGGAGTGGCCCTCTTTCTGTTGTTCACTTCTGCTCTATCTCTGAAGCTCAGGACAATGGGATCTTATGACCTCCTGTGTCTCTGTGGTGTGGATCCAGGTACCTACACAACCAGGAGGTCAGAGGTGTGTGTGGGGTGCAGAGGGTGGTGCGGTGGGGCTCCAACATAGCTTCACTCCTCACTGCTTTTAGGCTTGGATTGGTGGAGGTATAGTAGCAGCCTAGCTCGATGCAGTTTTGCTCATCCTTACTAGTCCACACTTTGCTGCTGGGAGGCCCAGGGTGGTGGGGATGGGGTAACTGATAATATTTTGTCACGCATATTATTTCCCTGGAAGTCATGGAATGATTTTTTCTGTCATTTGTATTTAAATCATGTAGGGAAAGATAGTATTTCCACAAAAGAAGAGAGGATAGGCCGTATAGTACATGATTACATATGTACTTCAAAAGAGCAAAAAATATATATCTTTTGAAATTACCATAGATACAGTATTTAACCTGTGGGCTAAAAAGTCATGCCTTTACTATAAGAAATTGGCAATAATTCCCTAGAGGCATAATACTTTGCAAAATATTCTTTGAGGGTGCTAACTTTTGTAAAAGAAACTAAATTCCATTGTCTTCAATAACTTCTTATTTTGGCCCTCTGCAACCTTCAACTTTATTTTATTCATGTTTGCTCTTTTTTTTAAAAAATCTTAAAATAGGCTTTGATTAAGCCAGCTGTTCATGAAACAGAGAGGAGAAAAAAATAAGCAAGCTCAGGAAAGCACACTGTCTTGTTTAGATTTTGCATAGTTGCTATACTAATCAATATTGTAGTAATTAAAATCATCCATGATTAATGGGCTGGCATTTTTATAGGGCTTTGTTGTCTGCAAAAGCACTTCACAATCTATTCTGTCTAAACGCCCAGTAGGAGTAAGCCCCAAATCACCAAGCTACCTTTTGTCCTTAATTTCCATCTGAACTATTCTTGTCTGTTTGAATATTTTGCCTTAGGATGCAGTTGTGGTTTTCCCTTCCTTGTGCAAGGAAAAAGTCCTTTTCTCTCAAAAGCAGAGACTGGAGATGGAATTAAAAGACTGGCACGGATTTTTGTCAGCCTTTCATTGATTTCTTCTTTTCTCCATATGTGAGACCTATGGGATATCAGGACTCTGACTAATCAAATGTATAATGTTTGTGACCCTAGGCATTATCTATTTACATTATTTCTCTATGTAAGACAGAATAGCCACTGCTATTATTCTTTGCTTGGAAAAGAAACCCTTGACTGGGACTCTAAATCTTGAGTTCCAATCCTTGAATTTGATAGATGTAATCATGGGAAATTAACATTTAAACATTTTTTGTAAATAGGGAAGGATGGAGGGGGTGAAGTGAAGTCAGGGGAATGGGGAAAAAATCAGAACCAAGTTACATAATATGAAGGTACAATATCCCAAAGATGAATGTAAGGGTAATGTATACCTAAAAAGTACCAATGAACTTAATTAAAAAAACAAGCAAACAAAAATAAAATAAACAAACACAAGTCAACTTGCATTTTAGGAAGATAATTTCTTAAGGAATAGTAAGACAAGCCATTACTTACATTTACTTAAATAGGACAAAACATTTAAAATAAATATTCCTTGCATATTAGATTGAGTTTCTGATACTTCTTTTTATTGCATGAATTTCTACAGAGGTTTTATACTCACAGTTGATGATGTATTAAAATGCATAGAACCTTTTGAGTGTTTTTTAAAAAACTGACTTTCTATGCTTAATCAGAAAACACTTCAAAAAAAATCTAAATTGGTAGTCCTGGACATATTACTTCTCATCAAGTATCAATGAATAGTCAATTTGGTCAATTTTCTTTCTATTCTTTTTCAACAAATTATTTGCCTTTTTTTTTCTGTCTTCAGAATTTTAAAAAACATTCTTTACGAAGGCAGTACAAATCATTTGAAAATGATATATAGGCTGTAGAGTGTTATTGAGATGATTGTTAATTTGCTGCAGAACTTTTGTAGTTAAAGTATAATATTATGCAATGTGACCTATTTGGAATTTGAAAGAACCTATAAATCATTCATCCATCCATTCAACAATTGCCTGTAGGTTTTCTGTATTAAAATCACAGTGGCTAAACTGCTGAATTCCAGTTCCAACAACATACCACCAAAACCATCTCTTGAAGAAAAAGTGGTAAGTGAGATAATTATCTTTTTAAGTTTTTTATTAGTACATTTATGCAGTACATAATGACTATATTCCTCTTATGGAGTTGGTACATATACATAACACATCTTAATTCTTCTTTTTCTCCTTCTTCTCCTCTTGCTCCCTCTAACTCTTAGTCCCCTCCCCTTTTGCTATCTCCCTACTTCCTGTTATGTAACTGTAATTTTTCTCTTTATTTATATTTTATATTTCTCATATGAGAAAAAACATATAATATTTAAGCTTTTATATCTGATTTATTTCACTTAATGTTAGGTCTTGAGGAACAACCATTTTCCTACAAATGTCTTAAATGTATCCTTCTTTATGGCAGGATAGGACACCATTAACATCTCTAGGTAGGAAGGTCAAAGTCAAAACAGTTATAAATGTATGGAGTCCAGTTTAGGTACAACTTCGAAGGTAAGGTCTTGATTTTTATATGGTTCATGTTATAATCAAGGATCAATGCATATGGAGATATGGAAGTTGTGAGAGTTTAAGTAGTCTTGGATTTTAGGCTGGAGAATAAACACATTTTTATATTGTCTATTTAAAATTTGAGCAATTTCATATTTGTTAAAATGTTTCCTAGGAAGTTCATCATATAAACAACAACCTTATCTGTCTTTTTTGTTTTTCTGTTCAAGAATTCCCTGGACAAGATAAGATGCGTTAAAGAAGGTGCTTTAATTATAAAATCATGTCACTGTTGTCTATGAGATATATGGTTATATGTGGCAAAAAAGCCCAAATATAAAATTATTCAGAATAAATAATATTAAATATAAGAAAAAACAATTTAGACTAACAATAGTGTAAACTAAATTATAGTGTCTATGTAGAAATTTAAAGTGCTTTATCATTTTTAATAACTTCCTAATACAGCTAGAAATATAAACATTTTAACTCTATTTGGAATCATTCTCCATTTTGAATTTGATCTACATTTCAGTGCTATGTATATATACCATCACATTTAGCATAGCTTGTTGGCTACAAGTCACCTATGAATTTGAAATGTAGTAAATCAGATAGGAAATGTGACATAGAATATGAAACTCAACCTCAATGAATTTGTCTATTCCTTGAAATCTTGAAGAATAGAAATAAAAATCTATTCTCACATTAAATTATCTATCTCCCCACCCCACCTGATCTGTATGAAAACTATAGACACTGATGATTATTTTGTGCTGTAGGCCCAGTTACTATAAGTGTCTACCCCATGTAGTGGGCAATAAATGTTTGTTGAAGGAATTAGTCTCTCCTGCTGCCATATTTCACTAATTTAAATTCTATAATTGGTACCTGGAATTTCCTGAAGTTTTTCAGAGTCTCTTTTATATATTTTTGTATTATTAGAGAGCAGCAAACAGAATGATTTAAAAATCAATGTATTGTATTAGGCAGCTGTGGCTAGTTCATGGATGCGACCCGATTTAGACTCATGCCCTGGAAGGTTGGTTTTAAGAATTTTTTTATCATGTTGTGAGCCTTCAGGGTGTAGACAGGATAAGCCATAGTGACCATGTCACTCTGAAGAGAATTAACTTATCAAAACTGTTGCATTATACCTGCAGCTAACCATTCAGTTGTTCAACTAATACATTCTCTTGAATGCTTAAATAAGTTTTGATGGAATATATCTGAGGATAGGATGAAATAATATGACTAAAAATGCTTTTTGAAGTACAGGATATATATATAACATAAAAAAATATTCCTTTCTAATGTCTTCCACTTCCATGTTCCTAGAACACTGGTATTTACTAGTAAATTAAACCACTGAAATTATCATACACAGACAATACAAATTGTGTTGTATAGGGATTTAAATCAGTAAGTATAACTTGAAATCTGTTTTCTTACCTTATTCATATACAATAAAAAACAGAACCTCACAGGACAACATGATAATAGATATGAAAATTTTATAGTTAATACTGACCCAGCAATTGTATCTCAGTCTCTTACTGTGTTGCTGGGGTTCTTTTACATTAAATCAAAACAATTTTTAGTATTTGTTTTGACTGCAAATGTGTTACTAATTTTCTTTATTTTCCAGATCTATTTTTTCATAACCATCTCCAAATCCCACAACATGAACAAAAATTTAATTATTATCTAATTTTCATAATGCTTTATCATAAATTATTTATTTTACTTTTTACAATTCTGGGAATTGAACCTAGGGTCCTATCACTGAGATGCATTCCCAACCTTTTAAAAAAATTTATACAGGGTCTTGCTCATTTGATAAATTGGTCAGCTTGAGTTTCAGCTTGGAATCATCCTGTTTTACACTTTCTGAGTTCTGGGATCATAGCCATGAGACACTTCATTGGGCATCATTAGTGATTTATTAATCATCTATCATGGGTCCTTCATTGTGTCAGGAGTGTAGAACATTCTCACTTAAATCATAAACATGACCAATTTTCTTATAAAAAATTAGTAAATTGTAATACCAATAATAAATGCATTATGATATAAGTCTTTGTGCAATAGTACTCATAATTTTTGCCTGGTAGTTTGTATCATGTTGAGTTCTCACATTAAAGTCTTTGGGAATGAGAAGGTGCCATACAGTTACCTATCTATTGTTCACTTTTCATTGAATCCAGAATGTTCTTGTGACCCAAGCTAGGCCAATCATGTTTTTCTCCCTCTTCTGTTTCTGTCTCTGTCTCTGTCTCTGTCTCTCCCTCTCCCTCTGTGTGTGTGTGTCTGTGTCTTCTCTGTATGTGTGTCTGAATTCTAACCCAAGAAAATTAAACATTTAATTATGAGGAAATGAACTCAAAAGTCATGTGTGTTGAAGTATATGCTATATCAGGATAGTTTTGACTTTCTCTAGCTACTTGATCAAAGCACCTATATATTCACATTTCAATTGGACTTTATCTTAAGACCTATTTGTGCATTCAAACAGTCACAAAACTCTTTGAATTAAATTTTTGGAAATATAGAATGGACTAAAATGTTATTCCTTTGTAATTTACTAAACTAAAAGTTTTTGTTTCCCACTTTTTCCATTGATAAGAGAAATATTCTACTTTGATTCTGTTGAACACAAAGAAGTAGGTGGCTCATCCTAGAAGGCACATTTGTACATAAGTGGAGTCGATCTCCCAAGGGAAGAAGGTTTAATTTAGAGCTAAGAGCATTAAAAATTTACTGATGTAGAAAATGCTTGATTGTCAGCAAACAGTAGCAATTTTAGATTACATTGTGGGGTTTTGATAGGCTGAATAAATTCATTTTCACCTGGAAAAACAGGAAATTTGTTTTTATTTTCAAAACACTGGGGATAAAAATTGGATGACTAAATGTGCAGGTGCAATCTTTGGAACTTGAACTTTGTGGGAAGCACAGGAAAAAAACCTTCATCTCTGAAATGTTTCTGAATAACTCCTTACATAATCTTAATCTATTTCTAGTCAAAATTTATCAAAAATTTGACAGGAACCTCTGAAGTTTGTTTCTGATAACAATGGATAGAATGTGAGTTTTGGCACTTTATACCTCAAAAGAAAAAAGAGTGTATAACATTAGAAATGTGTCTCTCCAGTCAAAATGTCATGTAAACCAAAATTATGGGAGAGTCAAGAAGCAATATGCAGGCAGAAAAATCAGATTTGTAGAGAAGGATGAGTATTTTCACACTAATTCTCCTGCACTTCACTGCTTGCCCTAACCACCAGGCATTCCCCCAGATCTCATGAATTAAGGGTTCAAGTCTCCATTTCCAATGTCACTAAAGGGCTACAAATTCAGTTTCTCATGAATATCCCTGTTAGGTTTGATAATTCACTAGAATGACTCACAGGACTAAAAAAAACCCATGGAACCCCTACCTAGTACATCCTGTTCACTAACTGGGAAGTTCCTCTGAGCTCTCCTAAGGTTTTAATTTGGGAATCACTATGTAGGCAAGAAAAGTGGTTCTACACACTCACCCTCTCAGCAAATAATTCTTTTCTTGGCTTGACAATTCCATTGGTCCATATCCTCAATCACTTCTTTAGCAAAACAAGGGTATGGTAAACAGCTAAATCTGAATAACAAAGGTAGATGTCATTTGAAAAATTCCAAGGATTTAGGGATTATTGTTTGGCAACCACAGACAAACCACCAGATGAACTGTTTAGCAAACAACATGAGTGGTATATTCTCAAAAAACAAAACAAAACAGAAAACAAACAAACAAAAAATCCAGACAAATTTACAAAGAAAAGTAGAGAAGGGATAACTTCAATATTTAACCTTTGGTTTTGAATCCTTCAAGGATTTTTCATTTATATTTTTTGAAACTAGATATTGATGAGGTAAACAAAACAAAAATTCCAATTCTTAGAATGAAACTATTTCCCTTATTTGGTATTAAACTCATAAAGAAAAAAGCAACACTTGGTCAATCTTCAAATAACTTTTAGTGCTTTGATTGGTAATTAGGAGTCCCAACACTACTCTAGGTAAAGAAAAACAGCATAAATAAACACACTAAGATTCAGTAAATGCGGACTTTACAACAGATTCTAAGGTTACATTTGCAGTAATAGTCTCTTCGGAGTCCTGGAGAAATTAAGTGAATAAGAGCATAGTCTGGTTTAAGAAATTTAGGAGATTTTATGGAACTTTTTGAGATACTACGTGAACTGGGGAGAAGGGCATCTTTGGACTAACTCCAAAGTAACATAGTATGATTAAAATTTGTATAAAAGGAGGTTAAAACTTTCATCTAAGGTAAGCTTTAACAGTAGTTTCCTAAACTTACTGTATATGATATTTTAATAGCCAACATTACTTCAGAATTATAAAAATCATTTTTGGGAGTAAAACAGGTAAATTAGACATATCTTTACAGTATTTGCCTCTAAATTTTAAATGTTTGTCTCAGAATATACCCTTCTTTTGAACAGCTGTCTTCTATTTTAGCACGTAGCTCCTTCTAAAATTGTCTTGCCAATTAAATGTTACCCAGTTCTGGGTTGCTCTCCTCGCCCTCTGAAGTTAGAGTTCAGATTCTCATCTTGCAAAAAGGAATTGAACAAAATGAACAAAAAGCAATGGCCAAGTTTATTCTAGAAAGTAAGTGAAAACTGAGGGAAAAAAAACTTGCTCTGGAGGGCAAGTTTGGGCAGAGTAAAAGGGAAAAAAAGCATTATAAAAAGACATCCTGAAGAAAGCATGGCAGGCTACTATGAAGAAAGTTATAATAGGAAGCTCCTTGTGGCACCTGCATCCTTAAATATTAGCCAGATCTCAAGAAAACTTGTGAAAATGTCTACACACGGGTCCTGAGAGGTGATGATGGGATCCCACAGTTGACATCTGGTAGAGGCCGTTCTAGTGAAAACCTGCTCCAGTTCTCCTGAAAAGGCTTTGTGCAGGGCTTTGGGAACTGTTCTGTGCATGTTTCTGGGATCTTTATAATTAATGAGTCTCTTCTACTTCTCCAGCCAGCTTTGTTACATCCAATCCCCTATCTCACTATGACATCCTCTTGACACTTGAATACTTTCCTTTTCATGCCCCAATCAATATTTCTTTTAAATATGTAAGTCATATAGATCCTCCTCCACAGCAGGGAGGAAAAGTGAAGACTCTTGAAGAAAACTGACAAATCAGGTTATTCCAGTTTGCTATGTTTAAAAGACAAAGAATAATAAAATGATATAGTACTGCTATGATTTGGGAACAAATAGTATGTCAGTTTAACCATAAGTTCATAACTAAAAGAGGATCTAGAATATTCTTATGCTGTACTTCCAATTGTCTTTTTAGAATTTGCAAACATCAAGCACACAAAGTTGTACAGAATAGTGGAAAGAAGGAACTACAGGGCACAGCAAACTTTTAAGGACTTTTGTCACCATCCAGATAATTTATATAATTTACATTTGGTATGATGCATATTTTATAGTTTTTCCTCTCTGGAGTAACTAAAGAGAGTAGTAACATGTTCAATATTTCTAGGATCAAAATGGAAAGATATGTAGCAAAAACTGAATGAGGAGGCAAAGGAAAAGTTAAATGGTTCTGAAAGCATGAATAAAATTTTACAAATTTAAGCTAAGAAGATGCAGGGAAAGAAGTTCAGAGAATAAGAAAAGGAGGTAATTTTAATGGTAGGTATCTTTTTCTCAGGATAGTTGTTTGTATAATTATCACTAACAATTATTTCTCAATAAATTAACTTTCTCTGGATAATTCTGCCTGCTGAGATGCCTCTGCATCCTTATTTCACCTTAAACAAGAAAATAATATATACAATAGCTAAAAGCCTTTTTCATCATGTTCAGGTTTTAGGGCAAGTATAAAGTCTGTGAAAGGTGTTAGGTGTGGAGTATATATTCCATTACATTTTTCTTCAATCATCTGCCTAATGATAACCTTGTTTTCGTTCCAGGCCTGAACTATTTGCTCACTGTTTTCTTTCAGGAAAACTCAAGGGTGTAGAATATGAGAGTTGATCAAATTTTATTCTTTATGACATATAGGATAAACTGGATTCAAAAGAGAAAAGCCATATTATTTTTTACTCTAAGACCAGAGAGCTTTCATGGAAAACTGTATGAATGTTGAACATAAGAAGGAGGGCTAATTTAAATGCCTACAAAGTAATACGAAAAGGAAAAGCATTTCTCTGCATAAATTTATTTTGATCTTTATCATTCTTTTAATTTTGTCCATTTTGTAGTTCTGTCCTTAATATTAGAAGATCATTATGTCCTATTTGGCACTCTTTTTAAATAATATATGGAATTTTTGCAACCATGAATTATATAATTGTATAATTGTATTATAAAAGACATGAAAGTGTAACAGATCAATAAATAGGATTTCATATATAGTGGTAAAATAATATGCATATACTTATACTGCTGTGTAGCATTTTGGCAGTTTTTGTATTTTTATACTAGTTCTATACTTTTCCTAAACCTCACCAACCTCTTCAAATGTGTGTGTGTGTGTGTGTGTGTGCATGTGCGTGTGTACACAAGGGCATGGGCTAGCCAGGTTTTCTAGAAAGTCCTTGAAATTTAAGTGGAGTTTGTGAAATATTTCATTCAATTCACTTACCTAAGATTACTTTGCCTATACCTATATTCACAATAGAGTTGTACTGTACCTTGGAAATACTTTGAAAATATCAGGAAAGACTGAAAATTTGTTGGGAAAATTTTGTCCATCCTAATAGCTGTGCATGGGGGATACTGGCGTTGGTGAGTTGGCTAGGGTTGCTAATTGTCATGGTAGAGATAGAATCCCAATATGAAAATAATACTAATATTCTTCAGTTTTGAAATATCTTAAATATTCTAGGGGTGAAAGCTGTATTTATAATTATCTAATCCTAGAACCTGTTTTATTCAAAGAACATTTTTATAGACTAAACATTTAAAAATCTAATTACTAACTTTTTAAAGAGTATATTTTATTAAGTTCAATATTTCCCCAAGATTTGGCTATGTTTAGAAAATTATGTTACTTAAAGCACAACATTTGCTTTATTTGAACTCCCAATCTACTTCTGTCTTCCTACATCAGTACCTGTTACATTTATAACAGTTCAGTGAATACATGCTGATGTCTAAATATTCTGTATTTTCTAGTGGTGTTATATGTGAGGACTTATCTACTGAGGTGTGTATTATTTTATCATGATTTTCTTCCTAAATCGTTAACATTCTGCCTATTTTCCCTTTACCAAGCTATTTGCCTCATGCGCATGCAGCTATACAAGTTGAATGGCAATTGATCAAAGAAGTTTCACCCAAGAATTGCCTTTCACTAAAATGATAACTTGTCAAAATATAAAAGTCCTCAGCCAATGATGGGCTGAGACAGAAGGTCAGAAATCCAAACTCTCTTGACTTTGAGGTGTGATCAGTTCTGCAGTGTTATGGCTGATTGCATTGTCTTTTATGGTAGCCATTAGCTACATGTGGATATTTAAATTTATATTTAAATAAACTTAAAGTAAAATTTTCTGTTTTCGTATCTCATTAGCTAGTTTTCATGGCCTCACTGGTTGTGTTGGGCCGTGATTACTGCAGATGCCAGTGTAGGTGTTGCACATTTCCATCTTTATACAAATGGTCTATTAAAGAACATTGCTTCAGAGCACTGTTGTCTAACAAAAATCATATGGAAAAAAGGTAAAAAGAAACAGATAAAATGGGTTTTAGTAATATATTTTATTTATCCAGTACATGCAAAATAGTGCTTATTTATTTCCGCCCTTTTAACAGGGGTACTGGGGAACAAACTTGGGACCTTGAACTTGTGAGGGAGGTGACAGAACCATTGAGCTAAATCCCTGGCCCTTTTATTTCCTTTTTTAAAAGGAAAAGTGTTGGGGACATAATCCTGAGTACTCTTTTAATATGTATACTTTTAATGTGTAATTAGAATTAGAATGATTATTAATACACTTTATTATTTTTACTGTAACCCTTAAAATTCAAAGATGTATCTTAAAATTATGGAATACCTCAATTTGTCTAATTTATTATGTTTTGTTTTTATTAGTTCATGTTTATAATACATAATTCTTACATTTATGGTGGGAAGATTGTACATGCACATAACACAGTTAATACTTTTTTTGTTGCTTTTCCCTCCCATCCCTATATGGATCCTTCATTTCTTGATCCCCTTCCCATTTGAAAAATCTCTATATCCATTTTTTTGAGTTTCTTTCTTTTTAAAAATCCCTTTTTCCTTCCTTCACTCATTCTCTCCATGTCTTGCTCCCCTTCAATTTGAAGAAAGATCCCCCTCTTTCTATTATCTGTCCCTTATTTTGCTCTTTATCTATATCTTGGATTTCTTATATAAGAGAAATAATGCTATGTTTAAACTTGTGTGACTGATTTACCTCACTTCATATTATTGTTTTGAAGTGCATCTATTTACCTACCAATGCCTTGAGTATCCTTTGGAGTAGTACATGATGGAGTAGTACTCCGTTGTATGTGAATACATTTTCTATATGTATTCTTATATTGTAGGCTTGAAGTTGGACTCCACAGAGAAAAGCATATTCTCATTTAACTCCCGATGCTGCCCTGATCTTAATCCCTCTCTGTTTCCCCCGAAAGCACTCCCTCAATATATTTTATATGCCTAAGTCACTGTTCCCAAATTCTGCTTCTAGAACATTGGAACTAGTAGCCATTGTATTCTGTTACAGTTAATGAACTGCATTTGTTCTTATAGAGGCATTTTATATTAGCAGTAAATTGAATTTTAAGCAAGAAAAGAGGTTTTCAAAATATTTTTATTAGAAGACTAAGTCTTAAATTCTGAGAGCCACTTTAATACACACATAAATCTGACTTGATATTTTACATGTTTATTTTGGTATATTTTATCTGCAGAGCATATCAATCAGGACATTTTCAGATATTTATTAAAATATAAATATTATTACTGTATGAAGTACAAAATTGTTAGTGATAATATTTTGCAGCTTCAGAATAATTTACCCAATGACCCTGCTGATCATCATTCTGAGCAATTGAACCTCAAATTAATTCAAATGATCAAGAATTAAGATTCAGAATTCCTTTAATTCCCTCATCTAACTTGCTCTCAGAATCAAATTGTAGCAATAGTTGATGTGGTATTTTACAAGCAGCAGCACACAGTAATTGGAAATGGGATAGTTTACACTGTTGGTAATTATACCTATCACAAAAATGTCTGTGAACAGATGAGAGAAAAAAAAAAAGCCAGACAAATTGAAGTAGGTTATGGAAAAATAAAAATCTTAGCCATCCTAACAAAAAGTGAATTCACTTCTGACTTGCACCTACAGCAGCCTTAGCATAAGGTAAGATCCAGCTTTGACTCACTGAATGCTTTTATTCATGAGTGTTTTCTTATGTTCTGATGTATCAATAAGGAGGACTGTGGGTGAAGATTTTAATTTGGGAAATTTTCTGAATTCTCTTTCTCTGAAGTGTAGAAAATGAGAACCTTTGAGAAATAGGTTGATATAGGTATTAAAATAGCACAATGGAAAAAGACAATATTGTAAATCAGGCCTAACACATTCATACTATGGGCTCTTTTGAGTTGCTCAGAAGGGAAATTGCTCAGGGAAAGAGAAGGTATTACCAAATATATAGTGAGGGCATAGTTAATAATTGATGCGGACTGTATATTCTGGGGTCCCAAGCTGATGAGAGCCAGAAAGTGTCAGTTAGTACAGGATAGTGACGATCACAATGCATAATTTCCTCTATCTAATAATAAAATGAACACTTACTCAAACTGGTCTGTGATGTTTCTGAAAATATAGTACTTCTGATCTCATCTGAGCTTGCCTATGAGTGATGGCATCACAGTCAAAACTGCTGCCTGGCTACTGTATAAGTGTGATTTTAGGAGCAACCATTTGACCACTGCCAGGAGAGGCTAAGCCAATAGAGCATTTTGTAACTGATGAGATGTTCCAAATATGGTCACGAAGCGCAGTCCGACGGTCACAGCAGCATTCTAATCAGCATGACACATCTGCCACTTGGCTCGGAGAATGTATTGAGGACGTTGATGGGCATGTGCCATTCCAAAATGTGTAGATTCAACAGAGAAGGGAAAATTTTATGAGACAGAGCGTTTATTTACATTTTTCCAAAAGTTGTGTAGTATAATTCAGTTGGATAAATTCTGTTAGCAGTAAACCTACAAAAATTCACTAATGACGGCTAAGGAAATTCTATCAGTGCTTCTGTTCTTGGGCTTTCCTTTTTATCTTTAAGTTCACAGAAAAATTATTTTTATTTTGCCAATATACTCTTAGCCACATGCTGTTAATATTTGCAGTAGCTTTTTGGAAGCTATTAGCAAATCACAATTTTGCTGTTTTTCTGTATTTCTAAAGCTGATGAAGAGTGCCACTATTCAATTTTTGAAGAGTACATGTTTTATATTTGCTTTGGACTCTGTAAGCATTGATAGTTTTTCTAATGATAATTTAAAAAAATAGGGAGAGGGAAGAGCGGGTGAAGGGAGGGCAGGGACAAGGGGAAAAAATGAGAACCAAGACCTGTCATGTAAAGGTACCAGATCCCAATAATGAATGTAACTGTACTGTATACCTAAAATGTACCAATAAACTCAATGAGAGAAAAACAAATTTTAAAGTAGTATGATAAATGCCCTTTGTGTATTATCTCACTCAGTCTTCATCAAGGTCTACAAAGGAGTTGATGGGACTAAACAGGAGCCTTCTCTCTGGAGTCAGCCTGCTTAACTTCAAAACTTGTGACTCTATGCAAACTTCCGACAGACTCTTCACCGCTTTTATGCCCTCTCATCTTCAGATCACTGTTCAAATATCACTCCATGAGTAGGGACTTCTATAATTATCTTATAAAAATAGCACCCCCTTGACTCCCCTACCGCCTTCATTTCAGATATATATCCATATCCCTTGTCTGTTCCCTTCCAATACACTGAAAATTCTGTGTGGACAAGGCTTTTTTTAACAACTGCTGTATCTCCAGAACCTAAAAATTGTGTCTGGATCAAAGCAGACCAAAAGCAGTTGAAAAATAAAAAAGATAAATAAAGCAATTTTCCCAGCATTGACCAATCTTAAATAGAACTATTTCAATTATGGTAAACAATATTGCCATATATGGTAAAAATGTTGTTTCTGTTAGAAATACAGACAAATAGGATTTAAGAAAAAAGCACTGATTATAAAACCAAAAAGTTATTTTCTAAAGCATCTGAGTCACCCTGCATTACATGGAAAGTTCTTCTTCTGATTTTCATTTTCTAATCCTTCTCTGATTAGTAGAGACCTGCTGATCTCTTCTTGTTCACAGGTGCTTGAGTCAGTTTTTCTTTTCTTTCTTTTTTTTTTTCATGGCTTTCATATTTTACTTTCAGGGAATTTGTAAACATTCATTTGCTAAATAACTAATTACTTCAATAATTTCAATGAAAAAGCAGCTCTTCCCTATCTAAAATCATTCTCCCATTCTTCCAGCTGCTGGTGTTCACTTAGAAGTATTGTTATCTCCAGTGCATTTATAGAGAATATATTTATTTTTTTCTTTAGTTGTGAACCATATACAGTTCCACAATCAGCATTTCTCAGGTATATTCTCTATAGAATTTTCTGTCGGTAGTCTTATATTCTATCAGGTAAAGATTTTCAGGGTATCCTGAAGTTTTTGAAAAATAGGAGAATGAACAATAAGACAAGTTTTTGCAAGACACAGAGGCAAAGTTTGAATTTTCTTTAGGTTTATATACATATGAATAAACAAAAAAAATAGGATTATGTAAAGTGTGTATTATGGTAGTATATTGGAAGGATAGATCAATTAATTATGCCTCAGTCTGGTTTTAGCAGAATGTGTCACGGTGAGCAGAATTAAAAATTCCAGTTGTTATGGCATTTAACTTGCCTTTGAAGTTTAGATAATGGGATATATGAATAAAAGAGTGGAAGGCATAATATGTGAAGAAAGCCACAATGAGAAAAGCATTTTTATGGATTGTACATATATATATATATATTTTTTGAGACAGGGTCTCACTATGTAGATGAGACTGACCTGGAACTCACAATGCAGCCCAGGCTGGTCTCGAACTCACAGCGATCCTCCTGCCTCAGCCTCCTGAGTGCTGGGACTACAGGCATGTGCCACCACGCCCCGCATGTACATAATATTTTAAAAGTAACTTATGTAAAGTCTGGTACAGAATAATTCTTGGAATTTTATTACTGTTTTTATTTCCATTAGCATAAGAGCAGTGGATATGACAGAAGTGGATTTCTAAATGCCACCACGCCAGGCATGTACATAATATTTTAAAAGTAACTTATGTAAAGTCTGGTACAGAATAATTCTTGGAATTTTATTACTGTTTTTATTTCCATTAGCATAAGAGCAGTGGATATGACAGAAGTGGATTTCTAACTCAGCGACTGATGATCGGAAGCTCTGGTTTGACTTTGGAGCCTGTGGTTGTAAACATCATACCAGTTACATCTTTTCTTTAATGATTATTAGCATGGGTTTTCTACTCATATCTCAGTATATTTGTCAGGATTCTAATTTAAACTAGCACTGATAACTTTGGATGTAAAATGTAAGAGGGACTTTATAATGAAAAAAGGTTCAATGAGAATGATTGATCATTTCTAATAGTGAATCATTGATCATTGATCACTGATACACTGATATAGTGACAGTTTCAGACATAAGCATATTTCCCTAATCCCTAATTGTTTATTTTCACACTTAGAATAGTGGTGCTGTGAGTGATGGAACTTTTTATTCCCTTCTGTTAGAAAGAATAACTTCCTGTTTGAGGACTCTGTTAAGCAGTTCATTCCTTATTTACAGAATAGCACTTTCTATATAGCACCCTTAATATTTTATTAGCAGCTCGAAAGTATTGATTCATATTCCAGGTTGTATTTTCACAACTGTCCTTTCAGGTATTTTCAAACTTTTATTTTCTTTAATTTTTTTTAAATCAAAAGCTCTTTTTCAGTTACTTTTCCACCAACTATTTTTTTTTTTTTGATCATGGAGTAAAAGTATACCTAGAACCTTTCACTAATTTCTCCTCAATGGGTGCAACTGTGATTTGAAATTGATTGTAGATAGGAGATTTAATGTGTAATAAAGGAAGGCAAAATTGAGAAAAAGAAAGCCTTTAATGTACTTGATTAGATGGAACACAAATTTAGTTTGAACAAAAATAATTTCTGTAAAATTCTAATAGGAAATATATGAATATTCTGCAACAAACATCAGAAGATGTAAATAAATTTGGGACTTATTATAAAAAAATTCTCCATGGCTTACATTCTACTATTACTGTATTGAACGAGGCCAGCAGGATGCTAGAGAAAAACAGTATAAATCAAACAGATGGTTTCATTGTATATGAAGTAGTTAGGTTTCATCCGGAGTGCTATAAAACATAGTGCACATGATATCTCAAGAAAGATGTAATTGCCTGTAAAGGTATAATACAAGGTAG